GTGCAGCCCTGACGCTGTGACTCAGACAGACGCCTGCCAGCCTCGGTGACAGCAGAAGTCACGGATCAGTGGGTGACTCAGTTAAAATTAAAAAAAGAAAAGCAGGAGGGCGACGCACTTAGGGAATATTTGAAAATAGAAGAGAACGGCAGGGCTGTTGCCTCTGCTCACCTGCGCCGAGAGTTGGGGTTTTAGGAGGAAAATTCCGACTGCAGCCCAGGGAGGCTGCAGCTCTGGGAGATACTTCAGGGCTCTGCCCCGCCTTCCTGCGGTGCTGGGCTGAAACCCACGGCCTGCACAGCGAGCTGCATCCGCAGCCCTGTTTTTAATGTTTGATTTAGAGATGGGCTCTGCGGGGTGGCTGAGCTGACTGGGCTGGCTTTAATCTGCCATCCTCCTGCCTCAGCCTTCGGGAGAGCCACCTCGTGTCCCTCCACATGCTCAGCTCTGGCCTGGGAGGCCCAGCCTGGCTCCCTCCCAGCTCGCCTGGTTTCCTCGGGTCGCAGTCCCCGGGGATGCCCGGTCCTCTGCCGGCCTGAACTTCCCACGGGAAGCGCTCTTTGCTCCCAGCCTTGATCTGTGCTGAGCAGGGTCCTGGGGGACAGGGCCACCCTTGCCCGCCCTGTCTCTTACCACCACTCATGGTTTTTAATTTAAACATTCACCGTATTTTTGATCATGCTTCGTTCCTAATTCTGGAGGCTGAGTGGGACTTGGGGCTCCGGGTTTTTTGCTCTTGCTGGGGGCCCAGGGTCCCTCGTCACACGGCTGGGGTGGAGCCAGAAGCCCCCAGGAGGCAGCCTCTGCATGGAAGTGGGACGCCTGGCCAGCCGCTGACTGTCCATCTCCATGCTGACCGCATCCACTTCCACCGCACCTTCCGTGAGATAAACCAGGCTCTATCACTCGGGGGCCTGGCTGAGGTCCTGGCCTTTGCCCACCTCCACGGGGCGCACTTATCAGAAAGGAGGGGCAGTTCTTTGATTAGAGCACAATTCAGATTCCTGTCTTGCAATTTTATGGAGCATTATGTGAGAAATTCTTAAAGCAGATTCATAAGCTACAGATCCTGAAAGGTGCCACTTATTCCTCACTGATTGATTTCATGTTATGAGTTTGTTCAGTCAGGCACAATGGCACACATCTGTAATCCCAGCACTCAGGAGGCCGAGGCAGGAGGATCCCTGCAGCTTAGAGGCTCAGCTGGGCTATATAGTGAGACCGAGACCCTGTATCAAAAATTTTTTTAATTAGAAAAGAAACAAGTATTTATACTCTCCCAACTGTTTTTTTGGATAAGAAGTAGCCTTTTTTCCCCCCTCATGACCTGTGAACTTAGTTATGTAATTAAATAAGCAAGAGATGGACACTTTGGCAGAATTCTTATTTCCTTAAAATGCTGTATTTTGTGATCATAAGTAGAAGTAACTGTTCACTGTAGGAAAGATGTTCACTTTTGTTTTGACTAGGTTTTTTGAGATGGGGTCTTATTACAGAGTCCAGGCTGGTGATCCGCCTGCCTCAGCCTCCTGAGAATTGGGCTGATGTGCGTATCGTATGGCAGTTTGCTGATTTCAGAATCGTAGAGTGAGTGAGTGGTCTGAGGGGCAGGCAGTTGTCAAGGCCATCATTTCTTGCCATCCCTAGGTGTAGTGTGACAGCCACATGCAAACCACTGCCAGCCTGGGAGCGAATGGGTCAGCCTCTGAGACATAAATTGGCAGCAAAACTAGCTCATAAGTGACTGGCAATCTGAGATGGAGATCTCGCATCCAAAAACAGTTCCGAGTGATACAATAAAATACAGATTTTGGTGGGCATGGGGATGCACACCTGCAGTCCCAGCACTCGCGAGGCTGAGGCAGGAGGATCCCTGTGAGTGGGCAGCCAGCTCACATCCTGAGCTGAGGGCACAGTGAAACTTCGTCTCTGAGACAAAACAAAGTAAAACAAAACAAAGAACATTTCACATTTTATACAAAACTTAGCCCTGAAGGAAGTGCTTTTGAATTATCAACAACCCACCAGGGAGCCTGGGCGTGGCTAGAATTTTTTGTACCTATTTTCCATGTTTTTAATTAGTGCTTATCCTGGCTTTCTTATTGCAAACGTCTCATTAGGCAGCTTGTCATCGGAAACAGAAAGGTGTGAAAGCATAAGCATGCTCGCCCCCCTTTGCGAGTGTAAACTGAGCTTGACCATTTCAAGTGCGGGCCCCTTGAGGGGCAGCGACTGGACCCGGGAGGAGAGAGGTCCCTGCACCCCAGCGTTGCCCGCCAGGGGGCGCTCCTGGGCCGGGTCCCGTTTTTTTTCCCCAGGCCAGACGGAGACTGGCCAGGAGTGACCGTTCCCCCGGTTCTCCTTCGGGTCTCCAGGGTCTTCAGGTCATTTCCTTTCTGGAAGGCTGGGGGCTGGAAGCCCCCTTAGCTCTTTGCGGGGCTCGGGTCAGAGGGCCCAGAGGCGGGGCCTGGCCCCTTGGGGGCGCTCATGGCGACCTCCCTGGGCTGCAGGTGCGGCTCAGCGGCGCCCGTGGGGTCTGTCTCAACCGCACAAACGAAACAGCGCATGCTGACCGGGCGTGCTTGGTGCTTGACTGCAATCCCAGTGCTCCAGGAGGCCGAGGCAGGAGGATGTCAGCTCTGAGCCAGCCTGGGCAGCTAGTGATGTACTGAGACCCCGTCTCAGAATAAAGGGCGCTGGGGCTGTTGCTCATCGTGCAGGCCCCGGATGCAGTCTCCGCACACACAGCGAACGCTTCCCAGTGTTTCACAGATAGTGGGCAGCCGGGAAGCAGGGTGAACCTGTCCCCGGTCCCGCTTCTGTGGAGGGCTGCTGTATGCCAGGCAGTGTGGTAGTGGCACAGCCTGGGCCTCCAGGGCTTTGAGCTGCAGTTTGCAGGGACCACGGTGCAGGCCAGCGAGGATGGGGGAAGTGCAGCCAGAGGGGCCTGAAGGAGCCACATGTGGCCACCCGGGACAGGGGTGAGGGTGGGACCTGCCCGGGTGCAGAACTGAGGCCCCGAAGCTGCTGGCCTGGCCCCGTGTGAGAGGCTTGGGAGCACGTCGCGTGGGCATACCTGTTTTGCAAGCATATTTGGCAGCTTTCACGTTGCCAGTCACGATGCTTGGATCCCCGGAAGTTAGAGGAGGGGAGGTGTCACTGGTTACAGTGTCAGGGGGCTCAACCCATGGTTGGCAGCATCATGGTGGAAGGGCCTGGTGGAGCAGAGCTGCCCAGTGCATAGTGGCCAGGAAGCAGAGCAGGGGCCAGCGCCAGGGAGGAAGGGACCAGAGATCAGATCCTGTCCCGTAGGCCATCCCTTGGTGATGCACCAGACACAGCCGAAAGTGCGCTCCTCCAGCCGTGCTGGATCCCAAAATGGACCAGCTGAGGCTGCACCCGAGCTCCATGTCGAGAGCTGAGGGGGAGGGTACAAGCCGCTAAGGCCTGGCCGTTTGTGCTGGGAGGTCTGCCCGGCCTGGAGACGGAATGCAGTGTGAAAGTCTAAAAGTCGTTCTTCAGGGTGGGGTAGCCAGCACGCAGCGCTGCTTCCCGGCTGTGCATGGCAGTGACACCCGCTCCAGCAGGCCGGGCCAAGCATGGTGGCATGGTGTCCCTGCAATGGCTTAAACTGGAGTGTAGCTCCTGCGTCTTCCTGCCCGTGCCTGGGCTGCCCAGGCTCCAGCGAGCAGGGGTGGAACTTGTGAGGGTCAGGGGTTGGCACTCAGAAGAGTCAGTGTGACTCCCTCTCTTGTACCCCAAAAACGAGACCCCAAAATGTTGTCCAAAAAACGAGGCAAGACATCTTTAAAAGAAAAAGAAGTGCTTTATTTAGGGTGGTACCCAGCAACACAGAACGATGGAGTTTGCAAAGCTGTGCAGCTAGGTTAGATTTTTGGGAGGCTTATAAAGGAAAAACCGGACAGTGTGGGGGGGTAAGGGTGAGGAAGGCTTTTGTTCCCTGTTTGGTTTGGGGACAGAGTTTCTCGCTTAGTTAGTTGCCTTGCAGAAATTCTCGCAGCTGGTGGTCGAGTTCCTTGCTTACAGGAACTTGGCGATTGTGATCAGCTAATTCCAGGAACAACCGTCTTTCACAAAGGGGGACAAAGGCTGAGACAGAGCCCAGGGTTACCGGGGTAAGGACGCATACAGAACAAGATGGCGGTGTTTTGGTTAGAGAGCACAACTCCCTCCTGACCCGGCCCCTGCCGGGAGCCTGCCGTCCCCCCTTCCCCTGCTGTCACACCAGAATCACTGCAGCCTCTGGAGTGCTGAGAGGGAAGAGCAGGGTTTTTAAGATACCAGGTCCCATGGGGGCCCGGTGGGCTGGTGGGGCGGCAGACCCGAACCCCGAAATGCATTCACGCATTCTGCTCCTGACTGTGCCCGAGGGCCGAGCGGCCGGGTGCAGACTGCTGGAAAGCTGCTGGGAAAAGCAGCCCCAGCCTCCTGCACTGTCATTTGGGCAAGAAGGTGTGGAGGCAGGAGGCAAGCGATGAGGACAGCCCTGCCAGCGTGCCGGAGGGGCTTCAGTGCCTCCTCCTGAGTCACAGAAAGGAAAACCAAGGACAGCAGCCGGGCGTGTGGCACACGTCTGTAATGCCAGAACTCGAGGGGCTGAGGCAGGAGGATCGCTGCAAGATTGAGGCCAACCTGGGCTACACAGTGGGCCCGGTCTCCAAAACCAAAAAATGAGAAAAATTCCACCCGCTGCAGGCCGAGCTCCGCCAGGCTGCTCTCCCAACCTCGGTCCCAGGCTCCTCTGTCCCCTTGGCCTCACTGCTAGGGTGGAATTCGGGGTCACCTGGATTCTCCTCTTCTGCCCCCGCCCTGCGGGCACCTGGCTGTCCCCTGGGAGTGGCACTGGCCGTGGGTTGTCCTCTCCACGCCCTTCAGCTGTGCCCACGGTGGGCCTGCGCTGGTGTCATGGGGCACGGAGATGGGGGTCCTAGTCACCACCTGTCCACCGGCCTCTGACCTGCTTCCCCTCTTGTTTCTAGACTGGCCTTCTTGTTGCCTGCTACCATGGCTTTGTGGACGCCGTAGTGGCCCTTGCGGAGTGTCCCCACGTTGACGTCAACTGGCAGGACAATGAGGGGAACACGGCGCTCATCATGGCTGCCCAGGCAGGTAAGAGCTGCCGGCCCCTTGGGGCGCAGCCGGTGGCCAAGGCTGGGAAGGCTCTGCTTTGGACCTGGACAGTGCAAGAGACCCTGTCCCTCTGCCAGTGGCACCTGGGATACAAAGCCGGCCGCAGCCCTGTGTCAGGGACCCCGTCAGGGAACCACCAGGAACTGCTTTCTGGGAGCTGGTGGGGTGCAGCCAGGCTACACGAAATCCCTGAGTCCTGTAAGCCTGTGCCCAGGGACGTGTGGGGGCCCATAGTGGGCATCTCACGTGGCCAGCCCCACATTGCCAGGGCCAAGGGCCGTGTGGTTCCCTGAAGGGGAGGACTGTGGTCAGTCAGCGAGGTGTGGCCGAGCACATCTGTACGTGGGAGGCTGAGGAAGGAGGATCCCTGCGAGGTCCAGGTCCGAGTGGGCTATGCAGCAAAACCCTGTCTCACATGCGCGTAAGAAGCGCTCAGCGTTCAGACAATACAGGTGGCCTTGCACCTTCGTAATCACACCTGATTTGTAACTGGCCTGGACCAAGAATATAAACTAGTTTTTTCCTTTGGAGTTCCTGTAGGGATTGAACTCTCCATTGTGAGCTTTGTTCCCCGCCTTTTTTTGTTTTGTTTTCTATTTTGAGACAGTGTCTCCTGGGCTGCTGAGTTGCTCAGGCTCAGCTCAAAATTGTGATCCTTCTGCCTCAGCTTCCCGGCAGACAGGGCCTTGTGATAACTGGACGGTTGCCCCAGCTCTTCGAGTTCCACATGGACAGCTCTAGGCTGGACGCGGCGTGGGAATTGTGTTTGCACTCCCCGCAGCCTGCTCTGGTCAGGGCTCTCGGGGTCCCTGCCTTTGCAGCCAGGCCGTGGGTAGGTGCTGTGGGGACCTGGGAGGACAGAGCCTGCCAGGTTGTGACAGAGGCCCCTGGCAGTGCACTGCGGTGCCTTTGCGCCTGAGTGGCCGCCTCCTGTGCCCACCTCTGGCTCCGGTTCACGGATGCCCCATCTGCTCAGTGCTCCCGGCCTTGACGGTGCGGAGCTCGGCCTCTCCCGGCAGTGAGCACAGCTAGGGTGGCCAGGTAGAGTCAGGGCCCGGGTGACCTCCTGGAAACCCACGTGGCTTTGCCCTTGTGGAACCAGTGCCCCGGCAGTTCCGGTATCTGGACTCCACATTGTGGCTGGGAATTGTGCCAGGGCCTCAGGGGAGGAACAAATCCCTGTCCGTCCCTTTTACGAGACAGGAGGCCAGGCGTGGTGGTACACGCCTGTCATCCCAGTGTTTGGGAGGCAGAGGCAGAAGGATTGCCACAAGTTCAAGGCCAGCCCAGGGTGCATAGTTAGTTCAAGACCAGTCTGAACCCCATAGAAGACCTCTGCCCTGTCTTAAGTCTGGCAGAAAAATGCAGTTTATCAGAAAGAAGCCTTTACAGCAGCGGGTTGCTGTTGTGGGCAGTGGGTGACCGGTTGCTGTGCCGTACGTAGCCTGTCCACCCCAGCTGTGCAGCCTCCGCGTGCCCGCCAATACCATTTGCCAGGGCATCGAGTTGTCCAGGAGTGAGGAGCCCTAGCTCCCAGGGGGACTTGCATCGATGGCTGCAAATCAGCGTGCGGGTCTCCCCCATCCTTCTAGGGCTTGTGGCAGAGCTCTGGCCTCCCGGGGCGTGAGTGTGGGGTGGAGATGCAGCCTTGTCCTGGGGGGGCGGGCTTTGGAGGTACAGATGAACCCCGTACCTCCAAAAGCTACCACAAAACCAACCAAAGCAGCGGGCCGGGGGTCCCCCCGGCAGGGTGCACCACTTTCTGTTTCATCCCCCCAGTTAACAGAGTGGAGGCCTGAGGGTAGTGGGCTCTCCTTGGACGGTGGCTGTGGGTGCCGTGGCCCCACAAGTCCTCACCACTTGTCGATCCTTGTCTATGAGGTTAAATCTGGAAGATGGGCTCCGATGGCCAGCCTGGCGCTCCTGGTGCTGTCCACGCCCGGGCTGGTGGGCCTGGGACTTCTGGGGCTATGACCAGGCTGCCATGCAGGGTCCACTGCGGGCTGCAGCTGGAGGGACTGGCGCAGGGGCTGGACACTCGCCCAGGACAGGGAGGAGAGGCTGCTGCTGCTCCCCTTCCTTTCCCTCCTCCCCTTCCACCTGCTCCCCCTCCTCCCTTCCTCCTCCTCCCCCTCCTCCTCCTCTTCCTCCTCTTCTCCTTCCTCTTCATCTTCCTTTTCCTCCTTTTCTTCCTCCTCTTTCTCTTCTTTCTCCTCCCTCCTCCTTTTTTCAGCACTGGGGATTGAACCCTTTTAAAGTTTTTCTTTCGAGGCGGCACCTCCCCGAGTCACCAGGCGCCATGGCCGGTGGCGCACCCTGCGCCTGTGCCCGCCTGCAGCTCCCTCTCCTGGGGCTTCTCTCTCCAGGGCGGCCTGTGGGATGCAGCTTTTCCAAAGCCGATGGTGCCCTCTGCTGCTTCACTTGGAGAACTGCACTTTTTAAGATAACGTCTCACTAACGCAGTCAGGCAGGCCTTGAACCCTTGGGGACCAGCTGGAAGGGTGGCGGGGACACCGGCAGCCAGCTGGGTCCCAGGCTGGGGGATGGGGAGTGGGGCCAGGCAGGGCCATGAGGGGTGGCATGGCCGGATTCCCTGGGGCTGCTCTGGGGATGCGTTGCCAGCTAGCGGGGCCCTGCCCTGGGTAATTAGGGAAACAAACTAAAGCACCCAGCTCTGGGGTGCCCTTCCGCCGCAGCTCCGCCTTCCCTGGGGCCCAGGCTTTGGGCTCAGCTGCCCTCCTGGGGCCACCTTCTCTCCGGCTGCCGTGGGGGGCCCCGTGACTCCGGAGCTGGGCCTGGTCCAGCAGTGCTATGCTGACACCCTGGCGAGTCGCAGCCCTGTCCTGGGCGGTCAGTGATGAGGCCAGGAGTGAGGAGGTTCACAGCAGAGTGGCCCCCAAGTCCCTGACAGGCCCGTGCTTTTCACGAGCAGCAGGCAGAGGCCCGGGGTCCTGACTGCCCGGCCCTGTGGTGGCTTCTCATGGCAGGGCCGAGGGGTGAATGAAGCTGATTCCCGCAGGAGGCTGGGGTGGGGGCTCTGGTTCAGGGTGCCGGCGGATCCCGGGGTGCGACAGCTGCAAGGTCCAGGTGGGAAGCTCAGGGGCCAGGGAGACTCAGCTGGGACTTGGGGCTGATGCCAGCACCCAGGGAGCAGGAGGGTCAGTAGGGGCAGGGGGAGGACAGGGTGCTTGGGCATCCCAGTGAGGAAGGAGAGAAGGGGAGGTCCAGGGCCACGAGGAAATCTGCAGGGAGTGCCCTGCGCTGTGGACGACAGAAGCACTCAGTGCCAAGGGAAGTCCAGGAGATGAAGAACTGTTGGATTCACTGCCGGTCACCACAAGGCACTGTTGGGATTTGACAGAATTAGGGGATCATCTGTAGCCACAGTGGGAATGTATGAAAGGACTGGGGGGGGGGTCCATGACAGTGGCCCATGTGAAGCCAGCCCATGGGGATAGTGCTGGTCCTACATTAAGAGCAAAAACACTAGTGTGTGTGCCAGCTAGCTAGTGCTGCATAACAAAGAGCCCCTAAAGCCTTGTGTCAGAAATTTTTATTGCTTTTGCTCTGTGACTTAGGACTCTTTGCTTTTGAGGGTTCTTGCTCCTGTCAGTGACTAAGCGGGGGTGTGGCTCCATGGGCACCTGTGTTCTGTTCCTTCCTTCTCATCCTTCTCCTGGCAGCAGTGAGTGAGCTGGGCTACGTTTAGTACAGCGAGAGGGGGCTCATCAAAAGGGGCACACGCTGAACACAGCTTCATCCTTCCGCACTATGCTCATCTCTGGATCCCCTTGGCACTTGCCAAAGACCTGTCTCTCTGTTTCCCATTCTTTTTAAAAAAATTTATTTACACTTTGGGTTTTTCAAATTAAGAAGCCATGTGATATTTAAGCTTGTGCATCATCTGATTTCTTCTAACACTGTGGTCTCAGGCCCCATCCATTTGCTTACAAATGACTCAAGTTTATTCTTCTTTGCTACAGAGTAGTACTCCTCAGGGTGTGAATTCCCACCAGTCCTCCTCGGGGTGTGACTCCCCACCGGTCCTCCTCGGGGAGTGACTCCCCACCGGTGCTCCTCGGGGTGTGACTCCCCACCAGTGCTCCTTGGGGTGTGACTCCCCACCGGTGCTCCTCGGGGTGTGACTCCCCACCGGTGCTCCTCGGGGTGTGACTCCCCACCGGTGCTCCTCGGGGTGTGACTCCCCCAGTGCTCCTCGGGGTGTGACTCCCCACCGGTCCTCCTCGGGGTGTGACTCCCCACTGGTGCTCCTCAGGGTGTGACTCCCCACCAGTGCTCCTCGGGGTGTGACTCCTCAGTAGTGCTCCTTGGTGTGTGACTTCCCACTTCTTTATCCACTCCTCCATTGGTGGATGTAAAGGCTGTTCCCAAAGATCAGCGATTATGAACTGTGGTACTGTAAACACGGGTGTGTGTGGATCATGTGATACGATGTCTTCAACTCTGTGGGAAGATAGCTCTGTAGGGGAACAGCTGGGCCAAGTGGGATTTCTAGTTTTAGCTTTGAGGAGTCTCCACGCAGGTCTCCGTCATCGCTGAGCCAGTTGAAGTCTCCCAGGCCATGGAGGAGGGGTTCTCTGTCCCCTCCGCCTGCCAGCATCTGTTATCATTTGATTTCTTGATGACGGCCATTCTTTCTGGAGTGAGATGGAATCTCCGCGTGGCTTTCATTTGTATTTCTGTACTGGCCAAAGATGTAATGCCTTTTCATCAGTGTTTTCCATCTGTGTTTCTTCTGAGCGATCTGTTCATTTGACTTGTGGAATTTTTGATTGAGCCTTTTCTTTGGGGGTGGGTCTGTCTGAGGTCATTGACGTGGTTAGACCTTCTGGATGTGAGATCTCTGTCAGAGGAGCAGAGGGTGGAAATATCTGCCCGCTCTAAAATTGCCTCTCCGCTCTGCCATGTCTCCTTCACTGTGCAGAAGCTCTTTAATTTGATGTGGTCGTGGTTGTTGCTTCTTGACGGAGTCATCACAAGCCCCAGTTTCAAGCCATATTGTAAAGCTGCGGTGATGAAACCAGCGTGGTATAGACACAGAAACACGCCTGTGGTCAGTAGAACAAAGTGGAGGACTCAGGGCAGCTCCCGGAGCCCCCAAGATCCCGGGGGTCTTTGACAGAGGGCCCAGAGGCTTGCTGGGAAAGGTTACCTCTTTAGTAAAGAGTGCTGGGAAAACTCGTTGACCTTCGGCAGGAGATTGAAGCTGGACCCGGGTCTGCACCGTGCACCCAGTAATCAGAGTGGATGGAACATGCAGATGTTAAGGCACAGACGCTCAGTCAGGGGAGCTAACCTGGGCGAGCTGCTGAAGCAAGGCCCCGGGAAGGACTCTAAGCAGAGCCTGCACCCTCTCCTGCTGTTGCTTGTTTTTCACTTGGAAGTTGGTGGTAACGGCTCCTCGGGATTTACCATTCTGGGGTGGATGGCAGCCTGGAGTGACCCGTGTCCCTCGGCGGGGACACGGGCTCTGGCCTGGGGGACTGTGTCCATCTGGGGCATGGCTGGAGGACAGAGCCACCGGGCAGGGAGGATTTCTCTCTGCTCCCAGGACCTGGGCAGGGCTGGGGCAGCAAAGGCCAAGGGCACAGGTCCTGGGGGACCCTGGGGCAAGGTGAGGGTGAGGCCCTGTCGTGGGGATGCAAAGGGGGACCCGGGCTGGATCTGTGTGTGTGAGGCTGGCTGGCGAGGCACCGTGGCCATCACCTGCTGGGGTCACGAGACACAGCAGCTCCGGGAGGGGCCGGAAGGGGCAAGCTTGGCAGCAGCGGCATCTGCCTGTCCGGGCTGGCTTCAGGGCAGGGCCGTTCCATGGGACTCACCTCACCCCCAGAACCTGAGCTTGTAGCTGGCACAGTCTGGGCTTTGGTCTCCTGGCATCTAGAGGTGGGTGGAGACCAGGATGCCACTAAGGGTCCAGGCCCTAAACTGTGGCTACTGAGGGGAGGCCAGGCCCTGCTTGGGGACTGTGGGCGGAGCCCCGGCGCCTTGCGGGGCAGAAGCGCCTGTGGAGCTCGGGGTCCCGGCGGCTCACCCTGGAAATGCTGCCTCTGTGTCACCTTCCTGCGTTCACCCCAACCTCTGGCTCTGCACATTCTGAGAGCAGCAACTGGGGAAAAGCAGGACAGCACTTCTGTCTCTCTGTATTTGATGAGCAAGGCGACAAAAGGGAGAGACATCCATTTTCTGTGCTTAACAATCTGCTTGCTTTTGACGTCTCTAAGTGCAGATGTGCAGTGCACGGTGACTGCGCTGCTGGCAAGGAGTTGGTGGGCACGCGGGTGACACAGTCCTGGTCCTGCGCCTCCCTCTCCCCGCCTCCTGGCCCCCTCCCCACTGCAAAAGCTCTGCCTCACTGGAGAAGTCTGCTTGTCAAGTGAATAGTCCTCCTTGCATAGCGTTGGGGCCGAGGGCGGTGTGTGTGTGCGCGTGTGTAACAGAAACTCAGGGACACAGGCATCTAGTGGTAACGGAGGTGTCAGCAGCCACAGGCGACATCCACTTGCTTGGATGAAGCTGGACATCTGGGGACCCGAACTCATTTGCAACTGTTTGCAAGCAGCTCCCGCTGGGAGCTCGCAGCCGCTCCCCATCCTGCGCTGGCCGCTAGCCGCTGGCCTGCAGGGGTGAGTGAGGCGGAGCCTTGCAGCGTGGGGATCCGGGGGAAGCCTGGCCCTGACCGCGCCGGCAGGGCGCACAGCGAACTCCAGACCCGGGGCGCCGGTCATCTGTCCTGTCTCTCTCCCCCTGCCGCACTCACGTGTCCGTGTCTCGTTGCAGGCCACGCCACCATCACCAACTACCTGCTGAACTACTTCCCCGGCCTGGACCTGGAGCGGAGGAACGCGTTCGGCTTCACGGCCCTGATGAAGGCTGCCATGCAGGGCCGCTCGGAGTGCATCCGCGCGCTGATGCTGGCTGGTGGGTCTCGCCCCGCCCCTCCTTCCTGCCCCGCCCTCCTTCCTGCCCCGCCCTCCTTCCTGCCCCGCCCCTCCTTCCTGCCCCGCCCCGCCCCCTCCCCGCCCCCTGCCCCCTCCTGTCCCGTCCCCGCCCCTCGAGTTGTGGACGGAGTTTGTTTCCCTTTCCCTCCCCTCCCCTCCCCTCCTGCCTTCCCTTCCCCTCTCCTTCCTCTTCCCCTTCCCCTCTCCTGGTACTCCTGGCCTCTTCCTCTGTTACACTGGGGATTGAACTCAGGGCCTTCACACTGAGCTAGATCCTCCGTCCTCTTCTGAGGGTTTTTTTTGTACTGGGTATCCAGCTAATGATCTCGAGCTTGTCAGGCAGGTGCTTATGCCACTGAACTAAATCCCCAGCTTCTGAGTTTTTTATTTTGAGACACAGTCGCTGAATTGGCCTTGCACTTGGAATCGTCCTGCCTCAGCCTTCCACAGTGCAGGGATCTCAGGTGGGTTTCCAGTTTCATTTTGAGTGGAAGGGGTTCCAGGCAGCAGGGCCGTCCCTGTGGGGCAGGACAGAGACCCCGGGCTCCGGATACTCGCAGACACCAAGGACTGCAGGACTCTGGCGGCTCCCAGTCCCTGGGGTTTGTTGCTGTGTGGGGCGCAGCCGGCTCAGGTTGTTTTGAGAAGCAAGCAAAGCGTGTGGTGTTGGATGCGGAGCTGGTGCCCAGTAACTCGGTCCTTACTGCTGTTACTGTGTCTTGACTTCGTTTAGCTTTGGTTTTGTTCGTGGCCCTGAGGTTAGCCAGGCCAGCTTGGCCCTGTGGTCCTGGAAAGGTGGGCTTGGCCTCTGGCTCAGTCTGTGTCCGTGTCCCCCCCCTCCCCCACAGGTGGCTTACAAACACAGGACCCCTGGCTCCCAGTTCCCGGAGCCGAGCAGCCCCAGGTCAGGGCGCCAGTGCCTTCCGTCATGTCGTATCCTCTCATGGTGGAAGGGGCCTGTCAAATGAGGGCACTCATCCTGTCTAAGAGGTCCCCACCCTGGTGACTAGTCGCCTCTTGATCCCGTCATGGCGCATGTGAGGTTCCAGTCTTGGTTGGGAACCCGGTTCCCCGTGTCTTCAGCTGGGAACATGGTCAGGCGGCTTCTTTCTTCCCGCCCCTGCTGTCTGGGGCCCAGCTGGCTTCTTCATCTGGGCACCGTGCATGGTTTGCCTGCCGTTCGGGGCTCAGCAGGGCACAGTCCCCAGCCCGAGTCCCTCTGGTCCTTGAGATTAGTCTGGGCCTGTGGGGTGCAACATCTGGGTTTTTTTTTTCTCTGCTGCTTTATCCTGGGAGAATCAGAGAAGGTGATGGGGGGAATAAAGCCAGTGGACAGGGATGGAGGGCTTCTGGGCAGGGAGAGATTACAGCAGAAGCGGCCCTTGCCTTGGCCTGGAGGCTGAGGGGGCGGGCTCCTTCCTGTGCTGCAGGCCCTCCTCCCTCCCCTCCCCCTTCCTCCTCTGGTGATCCCAGGATGCATTTGTGTTTGGTGGCAGCTTGGCTGGAGTTGGCTTCCTCTGGCTCTAGTCAGGGTTCCTTGTAGGTCTTCAGAAATTTATCTCTTCAACCAAAAATGTGAGGTGCCAACCCTGTGAGTGCATCCCCCAGCCAACAAATCCCAAGTGCCGAGCTCTTTAGGGGTTGTCGGGTGCTGGGCACTCGCCCTAAGTCACTGTGGGGCCCTGTCTGCCCTCCCTGCTGCCCCTCTGCCCGCTGTCTTAGGTTTCAGGCATTTATGGGGTTAGAGAGGTGCCTTTCCCTTCTCCAGAGAGGTGAGTCTGCTTCCAGGCAGCGGGTGTTGGTGTTACCCTTTTTTTGGAGACAGGGTCTTGCTATGCAGTTCAGGCTGACCTTGAACTCACTATGTACCCCAAGGTGGCCTCACACTCATGGTGACCCTCCTGCCTCAGCCTCCCAGTAGACATTCTTATTGAGGATAATCAGCGTGTAACTTGGGCGTGCCTTAATCTTTTTTGTTTGTTTATCTGTGGTGTTGCTGTTGGGGATTGTACCCGGGCCCTATGCACTGAGCTGCATCTCCTTTTAGAAAACTTTTATTAAATTTTTAAGGCAGGGTCTTGCTAAACTGCCCAGGCTGGGCTAGAACTTGCAACCCTCCTGCCTCAGCCTCCTCTCAGAGTGCTGGATTGCAGGTGGGAGCCCACTCGCTGGCTGAAGCTGTCTCTTCATCTTAATACTGTTGACGTTTGGCACCAGACGAGGCTGTTGTGTGAGCTGTCCTGGCAGCATGGCTTCTGCCCTGTAGACGACCCAGGCGCCCTCTGGTGAGACAGCCAGCAAGGCCCCCAGACATCACCAGCTGTCCCCCTGGGGCTGGAGAAAGGTGACTGTCCCTCTGAGCACCGGGGCAATTAGTCTAGATGGAGCGCATGAAAACAAGCAGGCGAATCTGTCTGTTTTTAGATATATTTGTCGTTTGCAGCTCTCTCTCTCCCTCCCACCCCTTCTCTCATTCTCATTTGAGATGGGGTCTTGATACCCAGCACAGACTGGCCTCAAACTCAGGTGGTCCTCCTGCCTCAGCTTCCCATTGAACTTTCTTACTAAGGACAATAAGCATTGTCTTACTTTTCTCTTTACTGAGACAAAATACTTGACCCAAGGTTAAGAGAGGAAAGGTTTATTTAGCTCAGGGTTTGTGGAGGCTTCAGCCCATGACCGGCTGGCCCCAAGGCAGAGGGGAGAGGACGGGGAGCAGGCCTCTTTCTCTCCCTTGTGTTGTACACAGTCCGCTGGGCCACGGGTGGGTGTAGTGTTCTCATTCATGAGTCTATCGCAAACTCTAGAAGCCACCCTGGGCCCCATGGGGCTTCGGGGGACTCCCAAGCCCAGCCCATAACAGGCATGGAACTGGGCTCACCTTATCCTTGCCTAAAATAAATGCACACTATTTGGGGAGACAGTTGAGCTGCTGTCTCTCTCTCGGGCTGGATTAAGCTCGGGAATGGTTTCACTTGGTGCAGTCACTACTCTGTGGTTCGTCCAGAAAAGTGAATTCCATTGTCCTCTTCCAAGCTGTGTGTTTTAAAAGGAAGAAATATGTGACTGAACGGCTTTCTTGGGCTCGGTGGACAGCATGAAGGATGCTTGCAGAGCTATTTAAAAACTGGGCAGAGTCACTTTTATGTTTTATTTCCGTTTAGATATATCAATGGTAAGAAAAATTAAATCTGCCCTAGTGGTACAATGTAATTGTCTATATACCTACCAAAAAAAGTGTTTCTACCTTTTGCAAGATGTTTTGGTTGTATTAAAATTGACTTGCCAGTTATGGTAATGTCACTATTAAAATTATGGTAATATTATCATTATTGAGACTGACCAAAGTAAAGTATCAACTCGCCCTTTCACATACATTTGTGTGATTTGATGGCACATGCTTATAATCCAGCTCTCAGGTAGCTGAGGCAGGAGGATCACTGAATCCGAGGCTGAGTACATATTGAGACCCTATCCCCCCCTCCAAAAGAGATACATTTGTATAGTTTAAAAGGGTTGGCATGCTTCCTTCTTCTGTAATAACTATTTCCTTTTTTTTGGTACTAAGGTGAGAATTATGAATGCACACAGGTATATTCAGTAAAAAGCAATTTTCACTAAGGAAAATGTTAAAGGCGCTGATAGCAATTCTTTTATGTATGTTTTTTTGTGTGGGTGACAGGGTGCACTATCTAGTGCTGGCGGGGCTTGAACTGATGAGGATCCTCCTGCCTCAGCCTCCGAGTGCTGGGGTTACAGGCATGCGCTAGCATTTGTTTTAGATACGCCCTCAACACAGAGTGCATGAGACACAGTGAGACAAGCAGCTGACAGCCGATTGCAGAGCAGCCACCCTGCGATAATCGCAAAAGCGAGACCGCGTGTTAATGAGAAGCAGCCCCTCGTTTTCCTCTCCAGGTGGAATCTCCCTCAGTCCCTGCGTGCTTTTGCGCCCGAGCCGGGCTGGGAGCTGTGCTTGCCTCGCCTCGGTGGGGAGCTCCGCGCACAGGGAGGGTGAAGGGCGAATCGGGTGACCCCGAGGTCGAGCTCGCAGGCCCAGGCCCTCGCATCTGCATTGCCGCGCGGCAGGGAGTGAGGTTAGCGTCAGCGGAACTGATTGCACTGGAGGCCGACATCGGCTCCTGGGCCCCGGCCAGCCTGGAGTCACGCGGCGGGCGCTGGGGCGGCGACAGCCCGGGAGCATTCCCGCCCCGGCGGCAGCGCTGTTCCTCTAAGTGGCGCCGAGGAGCCGAATCCAGGCCGAGACATTTTCTCTCTCGGGGGCTGCAGTTTGCAGCGCGCTCATGGCCCGAAGCGTGGTTAACTGCTGCAGCCTCTGCGAAGGAAAACAGGCAAAGAGAAACCGGGCACCTAGCTGCGGTTCCCGGGAAGCCAGCAGGGGAAGGCGGGGCGGGCGCAGACCGCAGACCGCGGTCGTTCCGGCTGGGCCGAGCCCTGAGCGTCCCCCTGGAGAGCCAGGTGATTTCCATCGAGACAGAGGCTGCTTTCTGTTCCTGGGGGGCAGGACCCGCGCTGGAACTGCTCGGAGTTATTAGCAGAGCAATCTGCAGGTCAGGAATCCCACCCACCTGGAGGAGGACTTGGGGACAAGTAGTTTTTTTTTTTTGCGGCGGCGGCGGGGGGGGGGGGGGGGTGTGACCTCAGGAAAAAGTAAAGGGCTGCAGGGAGTGCGGTGGGAGGAGAGGAGATGTGGCTGTGAACATGCAGGTCCTGAGCTGGTCAGCACTGGGTTTCAGCCCTGCCGGTGGGGAGAGGACCCCTAGGGGCAAGGGAGCTGGGGTCAGGCCTCCTGCCCGTGGTGCGCAGGTGCAGGCCCAAGGCCACACAGGGGAAGCCTGCCAGGCTGGTCCCTGGGGCGGGGGCAGGCACAGGTGGAGAGGGGACGGCTGTGACCCTGCCCCAGGCTGTGGTCTGGTGTGGCTCCCCAGAGAACTCTGGGAATGACGGATGCGAAGCCCAGTTTTTCCCCTTAGCATTTTTTCACACACTTTTGGCTGCCAGGGACAGGAATCCTGGCTGAACCTCGGCTTAAACAGAGGCAGCGTCGGGTCCACTGGCCTCACACAGGGCTCTCTGGCAGCCCTGCTCCACGATGGCCCGGGGCCCCGGGCCCAGACTTGGTTCTCTCCTCCAGACTGCCGGCTCCCTGGGCTTGTTGACCTTTGTCCCCTCCTGGTGCCACAAGAGTCACTGTACTTCCAGACTCTGCCCAGGGGGAGACAGGAGCCAGCAGTGTGGACTCAGGGTCCCTTTATGGGGGCAGATGTTAGGGTCGCTGTCCAGCGTTGAGCCAGACAAGTGGGGAGCCAGACTGCAGCCTTTTGGTGAGTCTGAGTCAAGGTGACATTTGGTATTGGCTGGAGACTCTTTTGGTTGTCACAGTTGTTGGAGTGCTATGAAAAGTCCTGCGGTGCACAGGGCAGCCTCACCACTGATAATTATCTGGCCAAAAGTCCCGTGACCCTGTTTCCTGATGTACCCAAGGTCACACTGAGATGGAACACCTGGGCTAGGTCGATCACAATGTATGGCCTAGACTGGGGTGGTGAAGCTATGGCACGCGTGCCGCAGTGGGCTGTTTGTTATCACTGAAAACTCTGGAAGGTTCGCCATCACTGGCCTATTTAGAGTGTGTTACTGCCCTGAATACACCGAGCGTGGTATGTGGGCAGCGTGCTGCGGGCAGCATGGCGGCCGATAGGCCACTGGCCGCAGCTCCAGCCCTGTTGTAGGCTGGAGGCCTGGGAAAAACCTCCCTGGATGGCGGGAGAAGATGGGTGGGTGTGCGCGGCAAAAATCCTCTGTTTTCCCTGAAAGGAATTGTAGAAGTTGTTAATCATTAGTGCAGTCAGCCCTCCGCATCCACGGATTCAGCGAGCTACAAACAGAAACTATTTTTTAAAAAATGCATTGGTCCTGAACATGTATGAAACTTCTTTCCCTAAGCAGCCAGTCTAGCGACTATTTGCATACGTTTTATCTTTTACTTGGCAGGACAAGTCGGATTGCACAGGAGGGTTGCGTGCTTTTGCTGGAATGCTCTACTGTCTCCCATGAGGGATTTGTGCATGCTTGGGTTTGGGACCCAGGGGGTCTTGTAGCCCAGACCCCGCCCTGTAGGAAGGAGGACGTGCCTGGTGTTCGTGGCTTTGTGGTTGGGTTCCAGCTGTTTGTGTCACCCTCGGTAGTCTCTTCAAAAAGCGCAGGCTGACTGACAGGAGCACACTTGGGACAGCCTTGGCCTTTGGGGTTCACGTTTTCCGGAGCAGCTGGAAAAGGTAGGGGACAGGGCGCTGCACTTCAGACAGTCGCTGCCTTCTTTTTCATCAGCATTTGAAGAATGTCGCGCTCAGGCAGCATTCATTAAGATTTTAATTTTGCAATTTGTTCCTTTTCTTAAGTGACATGCAATTAATTAGGGTTTAATGTGTCATCTATTTTTTGCGGTGACATTTTTACTGCCCCCTTTTCATTGGTGCCCGTGTATAAATTGTACCCTGGCTAATGAGTTCCTCCTGCTCTCCTCCGGTTCCAGATAATGAGCACTCTTCCCAGGTGCATCACGGGACCGAGACCCGCTCAGGAAGCACAGGGTGCTGGGGCTGCGGCCGGAGCTGGAAGCACCGCACCACCAGGATGCTGCTGCCTCTGTCCCCTTCCCCGGGGAGTTGGCAGTGCCTTGATTGCCCTAGTTCTGCACATCGCTTTGCCGCTAGAGAGAGGACAATGGCATACCCTTGGAAAACCTGGGTGATTTTTAACCGTGTGTGGGACTGAGGTTGGACCAAGATTGATTGAACAGCAGTTCTGTTTTCACTTCTGCGTTACCAGGCTGAGATGGATGCTGATTTCAGCATGGCACGTTGGGTTGCTGCTGTGCTCTGGGTGCACCAGGCGGGATGGGGAGATGCTGGGAATCCAGACCAGGTTGCCTAGGGAAACGGACCGGCGATGTGTGTGCTGAGATGTTGTGTTAAGGAGCAGGCTCCTGCAGTGGTGGGATTAAGTCTAAAATCTGCAGAGTGGTTCTCAGGTGGGAGCTGATGCTGACTTGAGGCAGAATTTTTCCTTTTGCAGTCTCTGCTTAAGAAGGCAGCCAGCTAATCAGGCAAGGCCCACCCTATCTCTGAGGGTGCTCTGAGACCTACAGCCAGCTGCCGATGGAGGCTGACCACAGCTGCAGACCCTTCCAGGCTGGCACTGAATGCAGTGTGCAATGAGACCGCTGGGTACGGAACCCTCATGCCGTCCTGCCAGGCTGGGGGAAGTACTCAGCTCGGTGCCGTGCTGGGACCCAGGTCTGAGATCTGCTGTCTGCTCCCTGTCACCAGCCGAGCAGCCACTGTGCCCACTGTTCACTCTGTGCCTCTGGCTCTGAGAATTAGGTGTGTTGAGGAGAAGACGAGAGAGGGGCGGCCCCTGTCTTGTCTGGTAAAGGCAGTAAGCATCCCAGTCACCAGCCACCCCGAGGGTGCGCAGGGAGGGACCAAATTCCCGCAAAACAAGCCCACCACAGCCCTCTGGTGAGTGAAGAGGAGTCGGCCTTGCTTACCTTCTCACTGCTGAGACAAAATACCCCACACCCAAAGTTACAGGAGGAAAGGTTTATTTGGCTCACGGTTTGTGGAGGTTTCAGTCCACAGTCAGCGGGGTCCAAGGCAGGGTGGCATTGAAGGGGAGAAGCAGCCACAGAAGGGCAGGCAGGAGACAGGAGACCAGCGCAGCAGGGAAGCAGCAGCAGCCACGGCCTCAGTGTGTGCAAATGGCAAACCTGTAGATTGGTGCTGTGTACACTCAGGGTCACTCTGCTGAGCCCAGCCTCACACCCTAGATCCAGCCATGCAGAAAAAGCCCTGCTTATGACTGTTTGAGGCTTTGTGGGACATCGAGATATGAGCCATAACAGATGGGATCCAAGGGCTGTGCAAGTGACGTCTGCTGTTGGCGTTTCCAGAACCATCCGTCACACCATCAAGGGGTCTGCAAGGCGCCTGAGTGTCTAGGCATGTCTGTTCATGGCAAATCACAGGACTTTATTCCTTTGAAAATTACCTATAGATATTATATGTATCTGTGTATGTATCTATAGATATGCATATGCATATATAGATATATGTAGTTTTGTTTCTTTTTTGGGGGGGGGACAGGGTCTCACTGTGTAGTTCAGACTGACCTTGAACTCACTATGTAGCCCAGGCCGGCATCACACTTGTGGCAATCCTCCTGCCTCAGCCTCCTGAGTGCTGAAATTACAGTTGTGCACCACCATGCCCAGCTAAAAATTCCATGAACAAGATAGTTCAGGCAGGCTTTTATTCAGGAAGGAAGCCATTAAACGGCACACTTAAAAGGCAAGTTGCGCTGTGACAGTAGACACCGTGGTGGCCCCGGAGGCAGGCAGTTTTCCATCCCGTGGCCTGGGCTAGGATGAGGCCCCTGTGAGAGATCAGGCGTTTGCGCCATTCCCCCAGCGATAGCGGGGCTCTGGCCGCGGCCACCCACTCCAGTTTGTGCTTTGCTTCCCAGGGGCGGATGTCCACGCTCGGGACCCCTGCCGCGGGATGTCGGCGCAGGAGTGGGCCGCCTACACGGGCCGCGTGGAGGCTGTCCGCGTCATGCAGAGGCTGCTGGAGCGACCGTGCCCGGAGCAGTTCGGTGACAAGTACAGGCCGGAGCTGCCCGCCCTCCCCGAGGCTGCCCGGAAGCCGGCCGGCTCCAGGAACTGCTGGCAGCGGCTCTGCGAGTTCTTGCGGTGCGCGCTGAGCCCCCGCGCGAGCCCAGGCCTGGAGGACGGGGGCGTCCTGGACCACATGGTGCGGATGACCACGAGCCTCTACAGCCCCGCGGTGGCCGTCGTGTGTCAGACCGTGTGCCCCGAGAACCCGCCCTGTGTGGGCAGGCGGCGACTGGCGGTGCAGGAAATCCTGGCGGCCAGGGGACACCGGGATGCGCCTGCTCCGGGGCGGGACCGGGCGGAGCCCGCCGAGGAGCCACCGGAGCCACCGGGGACCGCGGAGGCGCCGGGCGGCCCCCGCCCCGCGTCCCCCCAGCGCCCGCGGGCCCCGGCCCCCGTCCCGCGCAAGGCCAGCCTCCTGCCCCTGCAGCTGCTGCGGCGCGGCAGCGTGCGGCCCGGCGTGGTGGTCCCCAGGGTGCGCGTGAGCAAGGCGCCCGCGCCCACCTACCAGCCCGAGCGCGCGTCGCGCAAGGGCAGCGCCAAGGACAGCGGCCACCTGCAGATCCCCAAGTGGCGCTACAAGGAGGCCAAGGAGGAGCGGCGGCGGGCGGAGGAGGCGGAGCGGCGGCGCCTGGCCGAGGCGCAGAAGGAGAGGCGCGCGCCGCCCTGGAGGAGGAGGACGTGAGGCTGCGGGCGCCGGCCGGTGCGCCCGGGGCCGGTTCTGCCCGCTTCTGCCCGGTTCTGCCCGACCCTGCGCTAGCAGGGAGGGAGCGGCGTCAGTTTTTTAAGCCGATTTTTCAGAGGGCGTGTTTTGCACAGTTTTGTACTTCTACTCGTTAGGAAATTTTCAGCCTTTTACAAGGTCGGGGTTCTTTGTAGTTAAGGCAGTTTAATACACGGGTCGGAAACCCCTTTGTTAAAACACTGTTTGTAGCCGTAAGAATGTGTGATGATCACAAGAGTCAGGTGGGGTTCAGGGGTTCGCCCCTATGCTGCTGGGCTTGGCCTCTGCGGTCTCTCTGGTGGCCTGCTTCCCGCTTTGCTTCGATGACAGACGCTGAATGTGTTTTCTCATGTGTCTGGGAACTGGTCACTGCAGAACAGGCCAGGAGACAGGGACCAGGGTGCACTGTGTGACATTCTTAAACCCCCATCCTCACGGGGTGATCACAGCGCTGTGAAACATAAATAAACGTGCGTTTACTGCTAGAAGTAAAGTCATTTAAACAGGGGCTTTACAGGAGCGGGATCTGAGATCCTGAACATGAACACAAACCAGAAGCAGAAAACTCATTTAATAAGGTGGGGTAAATTTAATAAATGATTGCTACAAATACAGACTTGAATCTCATCTGCGCATAGATAAATCAGATCTGGATGCCCTTAAAAGGAAGATGGTAGGGACCTGGGAGAAGGAGACAGCCGCGAAGGCAGCCGGGAGTGTGATCGCTCTCTCTTCTTTCCTTCCTTCCTTCCTTCGCTTTCTTTCTTTCTATTTCTTTTTGCTTTTCTTCTAGGAAAACAGGTTCATTGAGTATTAAGCTTTTTTCCAGCCAGATTCTCCTGATGTGGAGCTCGGGGTGGCTTCTCTCCTGACCTCGGTCCAGCTCTGCAGAACTTCCAGGGTGTGGGTCCTGGGCGGCAGGGTGTGACCTCCCGGGCCCCTGGTGGTCCGATGGCATTTCCTGTTTATACTTCGTGTCACAGATGGACTGGGCGAGGGAGGAGCTGCTGGAGAGGGCGGGTGACCAGGGTCCCCTCACCTCCCTGTGCGGCAGGAAGCGGAGAGCCTCCTGGTGGCCAGGAGATGTCACTGCGTCGAGCCTTCCTCATTTGCGCTCCTGTCCTCCTGATGTCCTTCACATGGGCTCAGGACCGGCAGACTTGGGGGGTGTGGAGTGGGAGGTTGGGGAGACAAGGGTGCTCTGCACAGGGTGGTCTTCCTGGCCTCTCCCTGCTCAGGTCAGGAGGGGGCAGAGGACGGCGGGCCTACAGTCCCTGGCTGAGGGCATGGGCAGGCTGAGCCACCTTGGGATACAGCTCAGGGGGACCTCATGAGCCAGTCCCTACTTCTTTTTCTTTGTAGTGCTAGGGACTAGACCCGGGGAGCCCTGAGCAGCACCTCACTAACAGGTACATTCTCGGGGTTCGTGGACAGGTGCAGCCAGCACAGGCCCAGGGGTTTCCAGGCTCCTCAGCATTTAGGTGAATCGCAGCGGAACTTGACTGAACAGCAGCCGCAGGGTGATGCTGCCGCTGCTGGCTGTGCTCAAGGTGCCGGGACTTGGCCTACAGTGGGCCCGTGCGGCCTCAGTCCCTGGGCCCTGGAGATGCTGGTGGGGACGGTGGCTGGGGGTGACCTGTAGTCACTTCCCAGCCTGGGACCCAACGTCGGAGGTGCTGTGGATGGACTGTCACTTTCCCCTCCAGAGCTGGACACGGGAGGCTGCAGATGACCGAGAAGGACACTTGTCGTTTTCTTGCCATGTGTGTAGAGTGTCACTGGGCAGCCCGGCCCGGGATCCACTTGGAAGGAGCAGGGAGAGGGGAGCGGGCTGTCTGGGATGACCTCGATGTGCAGGGGCCCTGGGGCCACTGCAGAGAAAGGGGTACCTCAGGTGACCTCGTCTCAAGCTGCCTGCGGGTCCCAGGCATCTTGCAGTCCCGGGTCGAGTTGCCAACCTCCTCTCCACTTCGCGCACTTGTCCTCCGGACCTGGGAAGGGGTTTTTGCATGTCAGCTGGAACCTGGGATGGTGCATGCAGAAGGATTGTGGCAGAGGGACCCAGGTCGCTGCAGTGGGACAAGGTTGTGGGTAACACAGACACCCAGGAGTGGCAGATGTCATGGCTGAAAAGATGCAAGGCCTGAGGTGGTGCAGTCACATGGGCTCCCTGTGGCCACCCAAGGGCCAGGGACCAGCCCCACCCCGCGCCTGCGCACAGAGCTGCGTCCTGCATGGCAGCTGCTTGTGGATTCAACATGGCCTCGATTTGGTCTGAGGAGGGTGTTGCCGGGCTCCTGTCCTCCACTGGGTAGGGGAGCAATTTGTGTCCTAGTCCTCGATGGATAACAATCCAAGCCGCAGGCAGGCAGCCATCTGAGGGCCATGACCCACTGCAAACAGGGCGGCACAGGGCCTTTTAAATCCTGCCGGCTCTGGTGAAGCAACAGTGCCACGCACCGGACACTGGGGTGCAGGTGTCACTGTGTCGCCGCTGTGCGGTGCTCACAAGGCGACCAGCTCTTCCAAAGCCCAGACCCTTCATGCCAGGACTCCCTTGGGCTGTTCTCCCGTCTCTGCAGCTCTTGAGCCCAAGGAGTCGCAATTCTAGCATTTTGAGTCAATGGCTAAAAGTCTCCTCTGAAAGCTTTTTATTTTATTTTTTTAAAGAAACAGGGAAAATAGTCCCTGCACAGCTGGGCTGCTTCTAAGTGGCTGCGTGGACGCCGGGGCTGCACACGCTGGCTCTGGCCTGGCCCAGCCCCTAGGAAACTGCTGTGCCGTGGGGCAGAGGAGCACAGGTGTGAGCACCGCTGGGCAGGGCCTTGCACACCCTCACACTGAGCATAGACAGGACTCTGTGCTTGTGAAGGTGAATGGGATCCTTCGGTGGCCCGAGGACCAAGGTGCTGAAGGACGTGGCTAGTCGTTGTAACCCGGGCCTTTCATGCCAGGGCTCCCAGTCCATGCTGACACCACTTGGGGCTGTGATCGTTGTAACCCGGGCCTTTCATGCCAGGGCTCCCAGTCCATGCTGACACCACTTGGGGCTGGTGAGAAGTCCTGGCCTCCGCTCTGAGGCCTCCAGGGTCTGCCAAGGCCACGTGGCAGCTGATGAAGGAAGCTGGGTGTCCAGGCGGCCATGGTCGGCCTGTGCTTGCTGAAGTTTGGGGGCTCAGAAGTCAAGGGACCTAACACTGAGTGGACATTCTGGAGGCTGGTTTAGGTACGCTGCACCCGGGGTACCCTTGACGGGAACAGTCAGTAACAGGAGACAGCGCCCCTGGAAATACACCAGCAGGCCCGAGAGGCTGGGGCATCCTAAGGAATTGAATCAGATGCCCCAATCTGAAGAGCAGTTCACATTCATCTTCCTGCCGTTTAAATGAGCACACTTGCTGCCTCCGAGGACCCGGGTTTGGTGACAGTGATTTTCTGTTTTTGAGACAGGTTTGTCTTGAACTCAAAATAATCTTCCTGCCTCGGCCTCCTGATGCCAGGATTATAGGGGTATCACTGGGATTATAGGGGTGCCTGGACAGTGGTGACATTCTGACAGCAGACTTGTGCCAGGGAATCAGGTTTCAGGTGCGTCATCTCGACACAAGCTGTTTTGTGAGTGTGAAGCGATTTCCACATCATCCCTACGTGGCCATGATGTCTACCTTTCAGAGTGCTGTAATTAAAGGGAGAGCTTTGTCACATTTATAAGAGATATTTTCTTATTCAGACCTCAGGCCATCTCAGGACCTACAAACACACGTCACGCCGCCCCAGTCAGTTTTTTCTGTTCATCATGTTCCCACTCCTGAGGTTCACGGATATTTATGCCGCGGAAAAGTTCTGACCGGTTCCCATGTTAAAAAAGCCTAGAAAAAGAAAAGATGAGATTAGGTAAAAATGTGGGGGAATTATGGCAAAAGAAATACAAGCCACTGGAAACTAAGCATTCCGATGGTGTGGATGTGTGGGATCTGGACAAACAAAAGTGTCTGCAAGTCAGAAAAGGTAATGGGGGGAATGGCAGTATTTTTCTATTGCTTATTTTAACTGAAGTACTTTTTTATTCCACATTCTGTCAATTTTTCAAAGATAAGGGTTTAAAGTTTGTGAGGTACTTGGCGAGGTGCAGTAGTGCCTGCCTATAACCTCAGATTTGGGAGGCTGAGGCAGGAGGATCGTCTGAGTTTAAGGCCAGTCTTGGTTACACATCAAGACCTTGTTTCAAACAGACCAAAAGAAAAGTAAAAAACAGAGTGGGCTTGGGATTTAGCTCAGCAGCATAAGCGCCTGCCTTGCAAGCGTGCAGTCATGAGTTCGATCCCCGGTACAAAAACAAACCAAAACAGAAAAAGGGTTCAGCCCCACGTTGGAGTTTGCTGTGTGTTCTGTACACAAACAGAAAAAGTTTGATTTGCTTTGTATTCTTTTATGTAAAAGATGGTATTGTGTTGTCTTCCTATACACCCCCAGGGGCTTTTAAAACATTTTGAGAATCAGATTCTCTGTCTCTGTCGTCTCTCCTTCTGTCTCTGTCTCTGTCTCTCCCCTCTCCCGCTCTGCCCTCTCAGGACTAGGGATGAAACCTAGTGCCTGCTGGGCAGTGCTGTACCCTTGAGCCCCTCCCTCGCCCTTTTGATGTTTTGTTGAGACTGACTCTGAGTTCCCAGGATGGCTTTCTTTTAACAGTTAAAAAAGTAACACACGAACCAGAGGAATGAACCCAAGCACTGTCAGAGGGTCTCGGGTGACTTGGCTTCTCCTGGACTGTCCCTCTGACAGCCACTTGTTCTTCCTGGAGAACTGCACTTTCGCTGAGTTCGTCTGTCTTTGGTGTTGGCTTTTGGAGACAGGGTCTCACTATCTAGTTCAGGCTGGACTTGAACTCACCGAGAGTCCAGTGTGGTTGAGAACTTGTGGCCATTGTCCTGCTTCAGCCTCCGAGTGCTGGGCTTACAGGTGTGCACCACCCGCCCAGCAGGACTGCCCACAGCCCGTGTCCTGCTGCATTGTGATGCCCATGTTGCCCCTTTCCTGGGCCCACCCCCAAACCCAGCTAGAGTTTAATAAAGTTTCCTGGCCAAGATGAAGAAAACCTGCCATCCCCAAGCAAAGTCACCTGGATGTGTCAAAAAGTTATTTTAAAGACCAGAAAAACAAGAAATAGCTGCTTCTCCTTGGTTTGTATGAAGCAGAAGCTTTGGAGCTGGGTGAGATGCTGGACGCTTGTAATACCAGCTTCTCTGGAGGGAGAGGCGGGAGGCTCTTGAATTTGAGGCCAGCATGGGCAACTTAGCAAGACCCTGTCTCAAAATAAAAAGGCCTGGGGACGTGGCTCAGTGGCTGGGTGCTTGCCTCGCATGTGCGAGGGACTGGATTCAAACCCTAGGACTGCAATGGTGGAATCACAGCAGAGCATGACTGGCACTTGCAGTGTCTACTGTGGGGCTCTCAGGACGAGGGACAGCAGCCAGCTGGGCTGCCATCTTTCCCCCAAGCATGAAGGGCAGGACCCACCGCGTTTGGGGCCTGGTGCGAAGGTTGGCTGAGGCCAGTCCCCATCAATGGAAGGAAGGAAGAGAAAAGGGCGGGAAGGAGGAAAGAAGGGAACAAAGGACAAGGCTTGTCAGTGCCCACGGTTACCCGAGAGTCCAGGCTGTGGGCCAGCCTGCCGTGAGGAAGTTGGTAGCCCATCGTGAGAAGATCACGAAATGCCCTTTGTCCCCAGATGAAGGAGCTGCTCTGGGTGGCCAATGGGTGACCCTCGGCATGGTCCCTGCCCTGGGGCAGCCCCGAGATGCTCCCCCAGCTCCATCCCGGCCACCATGTTCAGGGGAGGGAGGGTCCCCTAACCAGGCCTCCTGGGTGATGGGTCCTCCTGACTCAGGTGCCCGAGTTCTCTATGGGTGACAGGGAGCAGTTGGAGGTGGCGAAATCTGCAGGGGCCAGGGCTGAGCGGCTCCTTCCTGACCCACGTCAGGCTACTCCTGACTCTGCTGTCCTGGACCCCAAGAGGAGGCACCTGGGACACCGAACAGCTTTCACCTCAGTCTCCTGGCGACCTCTGCTCCCTCATCCAGTGCATCCCAACACACAGTTCCCTGGCCAGCAGCAGCAGCACGAGGCTGCCCTCAGTGCCCACCCTTGGGCCACCAGGTTAGTGGCATCAGGTGGTCATGGCAACTTGTACCTAGGGCCACACTGCAATGGTGGAATCACAGCAGGGCATGACTGGCACTTGCAGTGTCTACTGTGGGGCTCTCAGGACCAGGGACAGCAGCCAGCTGGGCTGCCATCTTTCCCCCAAGCATGAAGGGCAGGACCCACCGAGTTTGGGGCCTGGTGCGAAGGTTGGCTGAGGCCAGTCCCCGGGCCCTGCACTGGACAGTGTCCCCTAACCTGACCTCCCACAATCCGGCCCTGTGAGCCCGGAGATGAGGCAGGCAGAGAGAAGCAGGCCTTTGCCGAGCACGATGGCCCCAACATGGTGCCCAGGGAGCCCAGCCCTGACTGCTGACCTGGCTGGGTCTTTGTGGTCAGATCACATAAAGGGGCCTAGAGAGGCTGTCTCTGAAAATGGGAGCCCACAGCCAGCAGCAACTTGGAACTTTCTCTCTTCATCTCGGGCAGGTAAATGTTGGGCTTCTTTCTTAGAGAAGTTTCTGAGGCATAGGAGGCTGCAGATCAGGGCTGACAAGCAGACACCATGTGTTATGGATTAAAAGTTGGTGGGCACCTTAACACCAGCTAAGTTAAATCAGTATGGTACTGAGCATAGAGAGCCCACCCGAGGAGAGTTGCCAGTGTAAATAGAGACATGAAGAGCTGGGTGTGGTGGGTTCTACGTGTTGCTGTTTCAAGACATTGGTTCTCCTTAGGAGACTAGTTTCCTTAGTGTGAGTTTGGCCATTGTCATCAGGACCTTGTTGGTGAGAGGGGCTGTGTTTCACTTTGGGGGAGCGCTGGTCCTTACATCTAGCATTGCTTCCTGGCTCTGGAGGGGAAGATGTGTGCTGTTTAATCTCCAGGATGAACTCATCATGCTGACTTTCTGGCATGTACTCATCTGTTCTTGTTGGAGGAGCTTGGGACCTCTATGTTGCTGAGGATGGCTGTGGTGCTCTTCAGAGGAGTCGTGGTCTTTATTACAAGCTTCATGTCTCAGCTCCAGTGTAGAACCTTCAATCGATTGGCACACTCCTTCACCCCACTGGCATAGACTTTCTAGCCACCACCGCTGAACTTTGAGCCTTCTCAGTGCAGATTCATAAAGGACTTGTGTGAGTCCTTTGCATGGGCTCCAGAGCTCCAGTTGGACTCGTGGGAGGCGTTGTCTTGAGCTCTAGGTCTTCATCTGGGCTCATGTGGGACACTGCTGTGGGATACAGGCCCTTGGCTGAATATTGTAGGTCTTTAGTGCTGTGTACAGATTTCCTGCACTTTCTTGTGTTTAACTTTCTGTGACTGCTATGGATTAAAAACTGGTGGTCAGCTGGATTATATCACCCTGGTGCTAGGTGTAGACGGCCCACCTGGGGGAAGTTGCCCTTCCCTCAGAGATGTGGAGGAGAGCGAGGCATTGTGGGTTTCTCTGAGAAGTAATGTAAGTTCCTGATTCTAATTGTCCTCACATCCCCTGAGTAAAACACCATGTCCTGCGTGGCTGCTGCCCACCTCTTCCTCCAACAAGACCCAGCACAGAGGGCGACGCCCTCCTGACCGTTAGAGGCACTGAGGTGGCCTGTGTGGCCTGTGGGCACCTGGGTGCTCATCTCTTTTCCCAAAGGATCACATGTCTCCCCAGCCTGGTCAGCCACACTGCAAGGTGTGTGGTGCAGCTTCTAAGTCCTCGCTCTGCCCTGACAACTGCAAGGTGGGGGGGCTCCCTCAGTCTCCCCAGGCCGATGCTTTCCCTAGAAGGACCCGGCGGATCGGTGGAATCCACAGACCCCTGGACCACAGGGTGAGGCTACAGATCAGCACGGCAGGGCACCCTCATCTCCTTCCTGTCCAGCCTGCCCTCAGCAGCTCTCCTCCTCCAGGCCCCACTGCCAGGCCATCCTGCCCGCTCCCTGGCTACAGACTGAAGCCTGAGCCGAGGTAAACCACTCCTCCCTTACGTGGTGGTGTCTGTGTTTCCTGCCAGCTGTGAAGAGGGTGAGAGAAGCCGTGACAGGGCTTTGCTGTGCGTGATGACTGACTCACGTGATTGAACTCGGCCTCCAAGAAAATGCCTCGGACCCACCCCACCCCCACAGTTGCTCTTTCTGGTGTGGCCAGTCCACCCTCAGGCCAGCGGATGTGGCCGTCCACACCCTAAGAGCTGGCATGGTCCACTTGTGCTGTTGACAAGGACAGGCCCTGGGTGTGATGTAGATGAACACCAAGAACCTCGGGAAGTGGCCAGGCCTCTCTGGGCAAGGCCAGTCCTTCCCTTTCCACCTGTCCCGTGGGTCCACTCACTCCCTAGGGAGTCCTAGCCACCGACCACACCCATGGTCACACTGTGAGGACCCGCGTGCTCTCGTGCCATGGGCACCCCTGAAGGCCCAGAAGAGCCCCTGGGGGGCCGCTGCTCCCAGAAGGCGCTGCCCTGCCGGCTCCCTCCCCCTGAGCTGTCTCTGGATGGATGTCACAGCTGGGGAAAACTCTGGTGCCCAGAGCTCGCTTGGCAGCTCGGCCTGAGAAGCACGCTCACCACCCAGTTCATAGGTGTGGCCTCTGCGGCCCCAGAGGACCCAGCAGGACCTGCCCAGCTTCACCAGAGGGGGGGTGACCCTTGTCATTGTCCTTCAGAGTTTGTGATTGCACAATCTCGGTACACAAGGGCAGAGACACCGTGGGCCCTCTCATTCCTGGCAGGAAACACAGAGCCTGGTCTCATACTTGCTTCACAAGAGGGGAAACTGAGGTACAGGGTGGCATACCTGACCGTGGTCTTAGTGTGCGGGATCAGAGTTGCTAAGGTGCCACCCGGCATGTTTGGCATTAAAGTTGATGCTCTGGGCTTCTCTGTGGTGACCAAGAAAATGTGGTGTAAGTGCTTAAGGGCCGTCATGGGGCTGGGGCTGTTACCAAGGACCCATGCTCCTCTTACTATTCTGCTCAGCCCCACTGTGACAGGAGCGTCCGTATTTCATTGCCTCATGGTCCAAGCTGGCTGCCGGAGGACAGGTCATCACACCTGCTTTGCCCTGCTCTTTACAGATTAGTGGTGAAAGCACAGTATTGGTGTCAGCCAGGTCCACCTTTGTCACCTGCTAGCTATATGGCTCGAGTACAGTGTGTCCTTTGCTTTACTACATTTCAGTTTATCTGCAAAGCAGTAGTAGTGACCATGCCTACCGGGTGGCTGTGAGTAGCTGGCACATAGTAAGTGCTCAGTAAGCGCGGCTGCAGCTGGTGGTGATGTGATGGCGGTGCTGGCTGTGATGACTGGGTGACAACTGTCTTAGCTGCTTCCCATCGCGGGGATACAGTGCCTGACACAGCTTAGAGGAGGAGGGGTTTAAATCCGGCTCACAGTTTGGGGTTTCGGTTCACGGTGCACAGGCTCAAGGCCGCAGGGCGGGTGAAAGGGGCTGGCAGCGAGAGCGGGTCACAGCATGGCGGGCAGGAAGCAGAGAGAGAAGGGAGGGGACAATAGGCCACGCCCCTGGCCCGCCCTTGCCCCAGGCTCCGCCCCCGACACACAGTCGGCGGGAGCTTAGCATGGATCAACCCTCCCGGGAGTACAGCGTCCATCCGCGACCCAGTCACCTTCCCGCCGCCCCACCTGGGCACTCGAGGCTTTGGGGTCCGATTGTGGCTCTGACCCCCCACAGTGACAGTGCGGGTGATAACAGCAACTGTGATCTAAACCCGGAATTGCCTCTTCCATGTCTTTGTGATTCATGAAACAGCATTCCATGGCTGCCTCTGCATGGTTTGAAGAAAACAAAGGTCCGTTTATCATCATCTCATTATGATTGGTCATCTAACTGTCCTTGTTTAGGAAGCCAGTGCTGCCTCTTTCTGGGATCCCGTAACAGTGCCGTGCCTGCAGGGTAACAGTCTTTGGTCTGTTGCACAAGGTTTTTGAGCTTTATTTTTATGCTAAGAGCATCTATGCAGGTGTAAAATGGTTTAACCTGTGAACTGGGAAACTGCGTGCTGAGGCAGGAAGATGTCCGCTGTGACAGCCAAGCATCACACATCCGGGGGACCCCAGGAGGACTTCTGATGGGCAGTGGGGCCTCAGGACTCTTCCAGGACAGATGCGGGCACAGCCAGCCAGTCATGGTGGCTTTCCCCAGAGCCTGCAGTTCTTAGGTCTTCAGTTATTTGCTTTTGGTTATTGTAGTTGCTTAGGGGTCCTTCCTCTCGTTTCCTGAGGTAAGGTCTCACTATGACCTCCAGGCTGGCCTCAAACTCACTACGTAGCCAGGCTGCCTCAGCCTGCCGAGCACAGGGCTTTCAGGCACCCTGCGGTCTTTTCCTCTTCCGAGGCCCGTGTTCCTAGTGGTTGCCCTTCTGGGAGGAGGTGCACCTCAGGATGTGACCACTGGCCACTGTCCTGGGGGAGGACACTGCCACGGCCACTGCTGTGGGCCTGCTCTGTGCTCGCCTCCCTGGCCCCGCTGCTCAGCCATGCATCCTGGGGACTGACGTCCAGCAGCTCAAGGTGTGTGTGGTCCCCGGGGGCCAACAGGCCGCCAGCACTGGCAGGGATTTCCAGACCATTCTGGAGGAAATGTAAACAGCTAAACCCAGAGCCTGGTGCAGTCCTCATCCTGGCTGCCCTCGTGGAGGAGATGCTGAGGGACGCGGCCTCTGCTCTCCATGACGGGGTCTGGGAAAGCAGTGCCGTGCTGTGGCGCCTCTGCGCCCCCCGAAGAAGAGATTTGCTTAGGTCACATGCTCCCTGGCACCCAGGAGCAAAGTGGCACCAGGGCACTTTTCTCTCTTCTGCTCTGGGCTCTGAAAGCATGCACAGGCTTGGGGTGCTTCGGCTGCACCTGCTGAACCTGCATCCTCACAGAGATGTGGTTCTAGCTCAGAAATGCAGGCCTCCAATAGCTTAGGCTGCAGACTTTTAGCAAGGTGACTGGGTCCTCTGCAAGCGTTACAGCCCCACACTCAGCACAATGGGTGTCTGGGTGAGGTCTGCCCCTGTGCACCAGCAGATGCTCTGCAGTGTTCCGGCTTCCCCTCACCAGGTGCCACCAACCAGCCCCTGCTCTAAAACTGTCCCCGGAGCACTGGACATGACGTGCAAGCCTAGGAGCCCTGCATGCCACAGGCTGAGGCAGGAGGGTCATTCCTATTGTAGGCCAGCCTAAGCTGTATTGAGAGACCATCTCCGAACAAACAACAACACACAACCCTGCCTCTGGATAGTGCCCCGTGCTCCCACGGCAACAACCTGCAGTGGTGACCTGAGCACCAGGGTGATGAAGATGGACATTTGTTCTCTGCGCGCTCTCATCTCTTTGACAGAGACGCAGGTGGTCTCTGGGGATGTGCCGGGAA